CGCCATAGAATTATTTCACATGACTTGTACACATCATTAACTTAAAGACGTTTCCGCCACGTCATAGAATTATATTTTACATGACTTGTAGTCTGCATCATAGATCTAGAATTTGTTTCCCTATTTTATTTCACTAAAATATTGGCGCCTTATTTTTTCACAACTTTTTTCCAGAGTCTTTTTTTTTTTTTTTTTTGGGTTTGATTTTTTCCAGCGTCTTCTTACTAACCCTAAACCCAAAATTGATTTTTTTTCTTCTTCTTCGTTCTCAAACCTGGAGTCTCAAGGTAAGCACTCTCTCTTGGTGACTTCTACTGCAAGAGGAATTTTAAGCTTTCACTCCCTCTTGGTGTGTAATTGGCTTTTGAATTCAATTGAATACAAAATTAATTCACCAAACTTATTCTTCCAGAATATTCTTAAGGTGTTACTCTTCTTAATTTTTTTTTCTCATGAAATGTTGGTCTACTTGCGATTGAAATTGAGTTAAGGTTTGTTTTTGCTTTTGTTTTTGTATTCATTGGGTTTGTTATCTTTTGTGCATATATTCAGTTGAAGAAGCTAAAATTCATACATCATAAGCCAAACAACCGTATTCTCTTACCAATCTCATTCATGTGAATTTTCACATCAGTTTATCACCTCGGTTATCAAACTAATTCTAGTTTATGATAACATCACATGTGTTGTTATTTTACTAACTATGACTATTGTCATATTTCAGTTAGATAAGAAAGACAATTCCTTAATTACTATGGATAAAAGCTGGACAAGTTTTCCAAGGTTTCCCCAATCTCTAAATCTATAGAACTATAGAGGAATTATTAAATTTAGCTGGTTAATATAAATTTATTTTTTGTGTAGATTTAGTTATCAGTACCAAGATGGAGTGAGAAAATTTATTGAGAATGCTAAACATTATGCAAGGAATCCTAATATGGTGATATGTCCTTGCAAAGTCTGTAAAAACCTTTGCTCTCAAACAGATAACATGTTATATATGCACATGCTCAAGCATGGTTTTGACCCTCTATACATGGTTTGGATCCTCCATGGGGAACAAGCAAGTACTTCAACACACGTTGAAGATTTGGAAATGCATGCACAAATTGAAGATTATGAAATGCCAGAGGCACATAGGATGTATAATGATGCTTATATTACTTGTGATGGAGCTGGAAAGTCAACACGTGAAAGTGTAGAGGACTGTTACAAAAAGAAGTTGGATGAGGCCCAATGCCCTTTATATACAGGGTTACAAAATACACAAAGCTATCGGCCACCACATACTTATACAAAATTATAAAGCTATAAATGGCCTTACCGATAAGGAATTCAACGATTTTCTTGAGGCTATTAAGGATATGTTACCAAATCCAAATGTTCTTCCTGATTCTTTGTACAGAGTAAGAAAGTTTCTGAAAGAGTTTGATTTGGGGTATGAGAAGATTGATGCATGTGTTAATGATTGTTGCTTATTTAGAAAAAGAACAAGAGCACATGGAGATTTTTCCCAAGTGTGGTGAGTCGGGATGGCAAGTAAACCCACGAACTTTGCGTTACTTTCCTTTAATACCAAGACTGCGAAGAATGTTCAATTCACCAGAATTAGCAGAGCAATTGACTTGGCACTCCACTCACCATACTCAAGATGGCAAGATGCGTCATCCAGATGGGAAGATGCGTCATCCGGTTGACTCAGTCACATGGAATGTGATTGACCAAAAGTGGCCCAATTTTGCTGGTGATCCAAGAAATCTTAGGTTTGGGGTTGCAACTGATGGGTTTAATCCCTTCAAGAATCTAAGCTCTCAATATATTTATTGGCCAGTTGTTCTAGTCATTTACAATCTTCCACCAAGTATATGTATGTCACAACAAAACTTGTTGCTGACTTTACTTATTCCTGGTCCAGAACAACCAGGAAACAACATAGATATATATTTGCAACCACTTGTGGCTGACTTGAAGGAGCTATGGACCAATGGGGTCGAGGTTGTTGACGTGAGTCTCCTAATTAATCAAGGAGATTTATTTCCTTGATTAATTAAGGGATTTACTTTCCTATTTTATATAATTGATAAATCTTTGTATAATTAGGAGATACTTTCCTAATTCTTTCCTGTATCTAATTCCTTGTATAGCACTCTTGTAAACTCTTTATATATACCTCCTTATGGAGAAGAATAAATCATCTGAACATATTCAAACCCGTATTCATATTTTAGCATGGTATCAGAGCAATCGATCCTAGGTTGTCTCTAAATCCTCGTATCGAATTTCTTGAAACCCGAATCCCTCGTATCGAATTCCTTGAAACACAAACCCGTATCCTCGTATCCTGAATCCCGAAACCCTAAACACGTGCTGTTTGTAGTCCAGATATATGCTCTCAATGGTCATCATTAGCAAGAAAGACAGTGTACTTGGGTCATAGACGTTTTCTTCGACCAAATCACCCATGGCGCTCAAAAGCAAGCTGGTTTGATGGAACCAAAGAAACAAGGAGGGCACCGAAACCATTGACTGGGAATGATACTTTACTTGCTTTAAGTGGCTTCACCAATGAGTGGGGAAAGTCCCAAAAAAAGAGAAAGAGAGCCCAAAAAGGTGATCCATTAAAATATGGAAAAAGAAGTCAATTTTTTTTGACTTACCATATTGGCAGGTTAGTTATTTTTATAATATCATACATTCCTTGTAATTAGTTCATTACTTTTAAGCTTGAACTAAACATGTTGTTTTTGAAATGTAACGTAGGTACTGCCTTTGCATCATAATCTGGATGTGATGCATGTTGAAAAAAATGTTTGTGAGAGTTTGATAGAAACAATATTCGATGCTAAGGGAAAGTCGAAAGATGGATCTGATTCTCGCAGAGATTTAGAGCGATTGGATCTTATGGGAGATTTGCCTTTGGAAGAACGAAAGGATAAGTTGAATATTCCATCAGTGCGCTACACATTATCAAAGATTGAGAAAATAAAATTTTGTGAGAGGTTATTTAATCTAAAGTTACCTGATGGATATAGCTCAAATATTGGGAATTGCATTAAAGTGAAAGAATGCAAAATAGTTGGTTTGAAGTCCCATGATTATCATGTATTGATGCAACAGTTGTTAGCAGTAGCTATAAAAGGACTTTTACCTGATGGACCCCGAAAGGCAATATACCGTCTATGTTCATTTTTTAATGAGCTATGTCAAAGAGTGATTGATAAAAATACATTGGAAGTATTAGAAGACGAGATTGCAGAAACTCTATGTTTGGTGGAAAGGTATTTTCCTCCATCTTTTTTTGACGTCATGGTTCACGTAACAATTCATCTAGGACGGGAAGCTAGATTATGTGGACCTGTGCATTACCGGTGGATGTACCCTTTTGAGAGGTAATTTATTTTAAGCCTTTATTTTATCTATGCAATACACAATCTAATCAATGATTGCACATTCTGAAAAGGAGTAATTAACTGTTCACTTATTTCCTGTGCAAATTGTTAGATATATGAAGGTGCTTAAAGGGTATGTTAGAAATCGTGCACGACCGGAAGGATGTATAGCAGAATGGGTTCTAACTGAGGAGTGTGTGAGATTGTGTAGTGGATACATTCAACAAGTTGAGGCAGTTGGTACTAAATACCATCGTAATGAAGATTTTGAAGATGAGACAATTATAGTGGGTCGCCCACTTTTAAAGGGGCGTCTAATTCAACTTTCTGCCGAAATGCAAAAAATTGTTCATCTCCATGTGTTGCTTAACAGTACTGAAGTTGAACCGTACATCAAGTGAGTTTGTTAACCATTTAACAGCCCTTTATAGGTTTTATAATCGTTAGTAACTAATAATATTATCATTACCGTGTTCCTATTAGGATGCATAAGAACGAGTTATTGCTTTCAGACCGGCGCTTACTACGAGATGACAATTTGCTAGTTAAAAGGCATTTGGAGACCTTCATTGAATGGTTAAAACACAAGGTTAGAAATGCTTTCTTAATCTGGTCTGCTACAATTGATATAATAGCTGACATGCATATATTTAAAAAAGTCACTTATTCTGATTATACAGATTCCGTTGGATGGTGATACCAACATAGAGTTGAATACACTTCAATGGCTTGTAAATGGGCCTAGGCTTTATGCCATGTCTCACACTGGATATCTTATTAATGGAAAACGCTTTCATACAACTGAAGTTGATAACTCTACACAAGACTATGGTGTTTATCTTGAAGCTGAGACTCTATGCAGATCTAGTGCCAAGGATACAGCACAAGTTGTTGCAAATGTTGATTATTATGGGGTCATAAGGGACATTTTGCTGTTGGACTTTGTCAAATTTAGGTTACCTATATTTCAATGTGACTGGGCCAACATTGTTAGTGGTGTCAAAAAAGAGGATGGCTTTACATTAGTTAACCTTCATGATGGTTTAAGTAAATTCGAAAGAGATCCATTCATTTTAGCATCTCATGCAAAGCAAGTGTTCTACTTTAGAGAAAGTGAAACCTCACATTGGTATACAGTACTAAAGGCACCACCAAGAGGCTTTCATGACCTGGAGGAATTTGATGAGAGTGTTTATAAATCATATGCTCCACAAGATGCATCTTCACTTGACATAGATGATAGGGACAATGCTGATAATTAATTGTTTGTATTCCATATATGAAATTAGTTTCTTTTCCTATTGGCATTACAAATTTCGTTTCTGTTCATATTACTACGTGCTATATATTTTATTTGTTTATCAAAGTAAGACCCTTGCATTTTTTTCTGCTTTTAAGTTGTAATGCTATCAACTGCAACCACAATCAGTTTCTTTAGTTACAATGTGCTAATACTATTTTCTATTGAACTTATTGTGCTGACATGTTCTTTGCTGTTTTGATTGTGTTGGTTTTCTCTTAACATCATTTTACTAATTAGAAAACTGGACATTTTATGGTACTTTTTTTTGGGGGGGGGGGGGGGGGTTAAATGGCAGATTTACACTTGAGATGGCAGATTCTGTTGGAGGGAAGGAAAGACCTAGATGTGGTTTGAGAGAAGGAGCTAGTTCTTCCAGAATAGCTGATGAGTGTTCTGAATCTACACCTCGAGAAGAAACTATTCCCCATTCTATGAACAAGGAAAAGAAGAAGAAAAGAGGTAAAACAACATTGCAAGTTATTCCAACGGGAGAAAAATATCGCAAGAAAATTGAGTGGAATGAATCTGGCCAACCTGTTGGTGAAGTCTCAGTGAGGTTTAGTACAACCCTTGGGGTTATAGTAAGGGAGTGTGTGCCAATAAACATAGAGTCATGGGACCAAGTGACACCTTCTATCAAAAATCGAGCTTGGACTCTCCTGATGGTAATATAAGTCTTTCTTAATGTGCATTTACGTTATGAGGGATTTGAATATTTGTTCTTATAGTTCTTGATTTGATACTGCAGCAAAAATTCATAGTGGAAGATTGTCACAAGAATTTTATCTTGCGCATGATGGATAAGCTTTGGAGAAACTGGAAATCTGAACTATCAGTGCAAATAAGAAGAATTTTAGAAAGTAGGTCAGATGTAGCACGTCATATGGTTCTACTCAAGCCTAGTGATGCAGCACAGGAAGAATGGGATGCATTTGTGGCAGAACGCATGTCAGATAAGTGGAAAGTACGACCAGAAATGTATCATGCTTTGTAATAAAAAATTATTGTTGTAAGATTAAGGTTACATATATGAAGAGATATATATGATCCTTTGCAGGAAAAAAGTGATAAAATGAGAGCAGTACGGGCAAGACAAACTATGCCACACACACTTAGCCGAAAAGGATATGCACGATTGGAACATGATTATGTGAGTAGGACTTATATTATCTTTTCTGAAAACTTATTTATTAGATCTTTTTGATTTATTACTAATTCTTTTCTATGCAGAAAACTAATAATCCAGGTAAAACTTTAACAAGGCCTGAATTATGGATAATCGGACATGAGCCAAAGAAAGCAAAAATGAATGATGTTGTAGCTGCTGCAATTGTATGTAATATAGATGAATTCGAAATTTAATTGATTTCTTAATGCATGTGAAATATAATATAATTTCATGTCTTTGATTTATTTGTGTAGGAAAATATCAAGGAAAAAATGGCAGAAGCTCCAGCTTCTGAGAATCCCATTTCTATTAAAGAGGATGCATTGACTCAAGTTCTTGGTAAGGAGCACCCTGGTCGTGTTAGAGGCCTTGGATTTGGGGTTACACCTTCGTAGGTAGACGCTCAAATTCAAAACAATTCTTGGAAGCAGTCCATGATTACTCAAGTGGCAGCATTGACAGAACGCCAAAAATTTCTAGAGGATTTTATCATGGAGTTTAGGCAAAACATGGTAAGTTGCTCTAATTCTTGTAGTTCTAGTAGTTTTATCTCAAAGTGCAATCTGCTAAATTGGACTGCAACAGGGCAAGTAGTTGCAAGGGCAGAAATTGCATCTACTGATCCTACTTCAAAAGTACATCATATTGTACTTGGGCCTGATTGTTATAAAGTTTGGATCAAAGAAATTTTAGTCCTCGAAGTACCATTGTTTAGGAGTTCACGTGAGCATTTCTTTCTTGATGATGCAATTGGAAGCACAGTTGCTTGGCCGCATAAGTATATCAGCTTTGACTAAAGAAGTTTGAGGTAAATTCGGAGTCAAAATCATTTCTTCTATAATATATGAAGGTCTTTCTACCACACTTGTGATTGTCCATTTGTAATTTGTTTATGAAATATTGGCATTAATTGGCTTCTACATGCACTAAATAATTTGGTATTCAAATCTTAAACTTGCACATGCAATTGAAATCTTATTAACTGCATTATCTTAGAGTTGTATACTTAGAAATGTCAAATCTCTGTTTGCAGAAGAAAAGAACCTTGTATATATAGAGTTGTATACATCTGTTCTACATGGACACTTGAGGGGTAATTAAGAATCTATATAGTTTTTTATATACTGTTACATGCTGAGCTTTGGAAGTCTGTCTTTCATAGGTGAGAAAAAGGTTACCACAAAAAAAAAAACCAAAGAATTGTAAAGAAGGGGCAAGTTAGATTCTTTGTGAACTCATTGTTTAGTCTCTTGTGTCGTCTCTCCCTGTGCTTAAACCTTTTTATTATCTTTCTTCTTCTTCTTTTTTCTGGGTTCTTGGTCAATTTTAACTTCATTCATGAACTTTCGGTCCTTTAAATTAGTTTTGTTGGATTCTCTTATTCTCTTGTTTTATTTGGCAAGATATTTCTATGTAATGAAATTTCCCATTTGGACCAAGAATTTACAGAAATGGATCATTTTCATTCTTGTGTGCTTGTAATTTCTAGACCTTCATTCTCATTTTCTGATCTTTTGTTTTAATGCAGGTAATAGTGGTTGTAATTATTTTAGTGCCATTTGCACCTTCTTTTGGACATGAAGCATCACATCCTCTCAAACTATCATGGAGCTCATCTTTTTGGATGTTTATTTTGTTTTGGACAGTGCAAGTATCAAATCTTCTCATACTTCATAGGATTGACATTATGGGATTAGTTAAAGACAATTTTTAGACTTGCCATGATGTACTAGAATCATATTGAGTAATATTAATTTAAAGTATATTAATTAGCCTTTATGTCTTCAGTTTTGCTTCTATATATTAATTTCTTTTTGTAGAATTAAAAATTATGGGATATATATAGATTAGATTTTTTAAATAAAAAAATTTCAACGACATCTAACTTTGTGTCATGAAAAATATTTCAATGACGTCTCAGGAACGTGGTTAAGTTCATTGACGTGCATGTTGCGTCATATAAAGTGCTAATAGACGGCGTTAAAAGGAATGTCATATTCTTCATGACGCCTAATTGACGTCATTAAAACATCATCCATGACCTCGTGGACGCGTCATGGAAAGTATAGGACAATACACAGACCGCGTTGTTGAAACATCATTCTATGACGCGTAACAGACACCATGTTTTAAAAAAAGTTCAATGACGTCTCAGGAACGTCGTTAAGTTCAATGACGTGCATGTTGCGTCATGTAAAGTGCTAATAGACGGCGTTAAAAGGAATGTCATATTCTTAATGACGCCTAATGGACGTCATTAAAACATCATTCATGACATCGTGGATGCGTCATAGAAAGTATAGGACGACACACGGACCGCGTCATTGAAACATCATTCTATGACGCGTAACAGACGCCATGTTTTTAAAAAAGTTTCCATGACCCCCCCATTCTACGACGTGTGTTACGACGTCTCGTCCGCATCATTAAATGCCTTCCATGACGCAAATCAGACGTCGTGGAATGGTTTTTGTCTTGTAGTGTCATCTCTCGCGTCATGGTACATTGATTTAACACGTCGTTGTTTTGTAATCTACCGACGTGGATTCCATTATATTATACGATGAGGACTAAGAACAGTTGGTCGTGTTTAGTTAGGAGTTAACACGGTAGGTTTTTTGGTGAACTGTCGTCTTTAATTTCCACGTCGGTGGATTCATACATGCTGTCGTTGTTTTTTGGTCAGATTTTAACTCTGAAGAAAACCTTTTTAATAAGACGACGCTTTTTTATTTGTGTGCGTCATTTTTAAAAAACTTTAACAGTACCTCCATTTTTTAGTTGTTTAAGTCACTTATCCACGACGGTTTTTTGTTACCGTCATCTTTTTAAACACAACGACAGTTTTTTGTTCTGCCGTCATCTTTTTCTGGTCATCTTTTTCACTTTTTGTAGTTGTGGATATTTCCCAAGTTTGGGGCTCAATCCCAGAACATTTGGTCAAAGAAATTGGACACTTCAAGTTCGTACGAAGTTCATATCGTAAATGGAGTGGATGGGGGATTGCATAGTTTTAGTGATTGGATTCTACTCAAAACTCACCAAATTACTATTCCCACCATATTATGTTGTTGCCCAAGTTTTGGGCTCAATCCGAAATCAATTGGACATAGAAATTGGACACTTCAAGTTCGTACGAAGTTCGTACCATAAATGGAGTGGTTGAAGGATTGCATAGTTTTACTAATTGGATTTCACTCAAAACTCACCAAATGACTCTTCCCACCATATTATGATGTTGACCAAGTTATGGGCTCGATCCGAAATCAATTGGTCAAAGAAATTGGACACTTCAAGTTCATACGAAGTTCGGACCGTAAATGGAGTGGTTGGAGGATTCCATTGTTTTACCAATTGGATTTTACTCAAAACTCACCACCTAACTCCTCCCACCATATGATGATGTTGCCCACGTTTTGGGCTCGATCTGAAAACAATTGGTCAAAGAAATTGGACATCGTAAGTTCATATGAAGTTCGTGCCGTAAGAGGAGTGGTTGGTGCATTGCGTAGTTTTAGTCATTGAATTTCACTCAAAACTCACCAAATGACTCCTCGTACCATATTGCGATGTTGCCCAAGTTTTGGGCTCGATCCGAAATTAATCGGTCAAAGAAATCGGATACTTCAAGTTCATACCGTAAATGGAGTGGTTGGTGCATTGCGTGGTTTTAGTTAATGGATATCATTCAAAACTCACCAAATGACTCCTCCCACCGTATTATGACGCTACCTAAGTTTTGGGCTTGATCCAAAATCAATTGGTCAAAGAAATAGGACACTTGAAGTTCGTATGAAGCTCGTATTGTAAATGGAGTGGTTGGAGGATGGCATAGTTTTAGTAATCGGATTCCGCTCAAAACTCACCAAATGACTCCTCCCACTGTCTTATGACATTACCCAAGTTTTAGGCTCGATCCGAAATCATTTGGTCAATGAAATTGGACACTTCAAGTTGGTACAAAGTTCGTACCGTAAATGGAGTGGTTGGAGGATTGCATAGTTTTCGTTATCGGATTCCAGTCAAAACTCCCCAAGTGACTCCTACCACCATATGATGCTGTTTCCCATGTTTTAGGCTCTATCCCAAATCAATTGGCCAATTGGACACTTCAAGTTCGTATGAAGTTTGTGCCGTAAAAGGAGTTTTATCGGAGCTTACTATTTATATATTTACTTACAGTAATTTTTTTACGTACGCCTATATAAAAAGGTGTTTTTAAATGGTTTTCAAAATGGTTTTTCAAACGGTGGGGTAAGTACGTCTTGTATAATTACGTTCAAAAGCTTTATTTTTGTCCACTCATAATTTTCCTGTTCTACGCCCCCAGGCAATAGATAGACAAGTACCGGACCACCATGTGAGGCCATCTCTCTTCTGCTGCTCTTCAGATCATCTTCTTTTGAGATTTCCTTTTATTGTACCTGAAGAACTCTTTGTAAACCTAATTATGTTAGATATGCTCTGATATTGCCCTAAACACTTCTGAGGATGTATTGTTTGGTTTGCGATTGTTGTGTGAACTTTTCTTGTGCATGCTAAATGCTTGGGTTTAAATAGTGTTTTCTTGACAAGTGGACTTTTAGTTTAGAGCTAATTTCAGGGGAGACTCGGCCGATTTTCCAATACAACTCAAACCCTAAAGTGGTCTTAGAATTAGGGCTAAAATAGGTATTTTGGTAATTTGCGCCCGACACCTACCGAGTGTCGGACAGGTACAGGACTTGTCATGAGTTCCAATGGGGGATTCGGGGCAGATCCTATCGAGAGAGGTGAGAGATAGATAGAGAGTTTTCTCTAGGGTTGTTCGGGTTGAATTAGGATTACCTCATGTGTGGTGTGTAGCCATCTATTTATATCCTCCTTGTTGGCTAGGGTTTGTAGAGAATAATTTCCATATGGAAGGGAATTATTCTTTTTCTTAAATGACACAATAATATCAAGGAGATTTTGCTGGAAATCGGATCTTTGATTTGGGGAGATATTCTTATCGTCAATCAAGGATAATTGGCTAATTAAATCAGATTTAACTAGCTCAATTATTTAACCTAAAGAACATTCCTCTATGCAAGTGCCACCTTGTGATTGGTTGCCAAAATTCATGTTCTCACAATGCTTATGTGGCAATCAATGGATCCACATGGACCACACATATTGTACCATGTGGATTGAAAAAATTAAAATTAAAAAAGATGTAAATAATCTAATTAAAATAGAAACAAAGATAAAGACAATTTCACGGATGCTAACTACAGGGACCAAATTGATGTAGACATAGTAACCTTAAGGACCATTATTGTCACAAAAATTTCTTAGGAAGGTGATAATTTCAAGAACCTAAGGGACCATTTGGGATAAAAGTAAAACCAAAACAAAAGAATAAGCAAAAGAAAAA